AGATGGGTGGTTCTAATTTGAAAATTAGACTTATGGAGTAAATAAGATTTAGTAAAATTGAGATTGCCTTTAAAAGAAAAATTTCCTTTGTGAAACTGCAAACTGGCTATCTCTGACATGGCTTCAGTTACTTAAGAAATCATATTGGATTAATAGAGAAAGGCGCCTGGAGCAGTCAAAAATGGCTGCCCTGCTCCATTGGTGAACAGATTCATTCCAGAGGGATCGGGCTGCTGCAAGCACCTTGGAACAGTCAGAGCAAGCTAATGGCTTCCAGAAACCTGAGAATTGTGCAACAACAAAGGGCCAGATTGAGTTGTGATTTGGGCATCCACCAAAGTGAGACAAAGCCTCATGGCACCTAATGTCCCACACCATAGGTGACTAATGAAGTAAAAGCTAGCAGAGTGGCTGTTAACGTTATGGATGGTTTAGAGAGGATGTGCTCCTGAATGGCTGGAAGACTTTCTAAGGCTTCCCAGAGTAATGGAATGAAGCTTGGTAAGTCTAGGTGAAGCAGGTAAGTGAGTGAGCCAACATCTGCCTCATTTTAATCCAGAGTAAAATCCACATGAAATTTTAGTGCTGATGAAGCTGGCAACTGGAGGAGGAAAAAGAGATTGCAATAGTCTTGATTAGTGCCATCTAATAGGGCTCATATCAGAGGTCTTGAGATGTACAAAACTGGTTGTGATAGGAAGGAAATGCCATCTTATTGAAGTCCTCCTTGGTGAGCATAAACAGCATTCAAATGCTATCAGAGACTCCATAGCCAGTTCTTCCTAGGGAACGAGGACCAATCTGGTCCCAGTACAAAGTTTCCTGTGATGAGGGATTTGGAGAGGCCCAGGGTGGTTGAGTCCATTTGAGGATCACCTCCAGTCTGCTCACCAAACTTGGAGGACTGGAAGTCACCAATAGTATTTTATGTTTTGGAGGAGTTTCTATTGGTACTCTTCTCCATGAGGGTGTGTAACTGTTGCATCACCTTTCTTTACATGGGGAATGGGGACTGAAGAACACTACAGTTTCTTCAAAAGTGGAGAGGAGCAGGAGAGTACATTCAAGTCCTAAATCTGACATATTGCCCATCTGGAAGTTCTCATATTCTCTGCTCTTAATATTTGCGAAGAGACAATAAAAACTTTGTCAGAGGCTGCTGAATGAAACAGTTCCTTCTGTGACAGGTGGCTGGCAGGAATTCTTATCCACCCAGTGTGAACTAGAGAAGCCGGGGTCTGCACATCAAAGTGTAATAGGTATATAAGCAGAATTCCTTTGAACAAGTGCATAAGTGTGGCCTCCTGTTGACTCCTTCTCTCAATCAAAGCAAATTCTGCCTATGATATTTCGTATTTACTACTTTCCTGGAGCTCCACTGTTTAATTGTTCAGTGAGAAGAACCCTATAAGCACAGATGGTGTAACTTTGTAAGAAAGGACCTATGGAGATGGGATCTTTCTCCAGAAAAATTAAAGATGAAAATGTAGTAGGTAAGAGGAAAATACTTGGGGAAAACAAAACAATTATTGCTCACACGTTGGGAGAATTTTTAGGGACAGTAAAAAAAGAATTTTTAGAGACAGTAAAAAGTAAATGGATGGGATATATTGAAGGAATAGCTTTGGGGACTAAAAGACAGATTGAATGAAATATATAAAAATAGTTTTACCTTTTATTGTTAGACTCTGGTCCTTTGAAAACAATAATATACAAATATAGGGCTATATGAGCCTCATGATTTTATTTTACATCATAACAAAGAGAAGGAGAGAGAGAGACAGAGAGAGAGGGAGAGAGAGAGAGAGAGAGAGAGGAAAGGTTTAATATCTCCTGTCAACCTTACACAATCTTCCATTTCTTTTCAGCATTTACACAATTTAATTCTGATTCCAGAGTCAAAAGTTGAGTTTTGAGCTCTTCATGAGTCTGTTTAATTCTGGTTCATCTTTTTACCTAATTTTGAGTTGCTTCTGAGACTCAAACCAAACCAGGGGCTTCTCAAACCCATCCTTAGTTAAGCCCTGTCTCAACAAGAAAAGGTTCTCAGAAGCATCACTCAGCTTCTCAACATACTCTCATCCCTACTATAAAAAACTCCAGGATTAGTCTTCGCTCTTGGCCTGATACAGTATCCTGTAAACTGTGATGTCATGTTGTATGTAAGCTAGTTGTCCTCATTGAAAGCATTGATTACAAGTCTTGAGATATTTATTAATGGATGTGGAAATCTCTATTATTCTCACTGTAAAAACAAGGCACAGAGAACTTAGGTAACTTGCTCAAATTTGCATCATTGGCAAGTGGTACAGCTGGGAATCAGCAGTAAGACGTATCCCAAGCATCGAATCTATCTTCTCAAGCATCTAATATATGTTGCTTTCTGGCAAATCCTAAGGAATGTGTTTCTAACATTCTATTTTTCTAAAGACTACTACTAAAATAATCCAGGAAATGTCTCATAATCAAAATATTTGAAGGACCAGCTAAGTAGAAATTCTGTGTGCCTGATAACAGTAGAAAGGATAAACAAAGTGTGGTATATATCATGTAGTGAATAGCTCACATGAATATACCACACCTGAAAAAGGACTGAATAATATATACAGGATGGATGAACCTCAAATACATGATATTTAGGGGAAATGACTATTGCTTTACAGTCAAGTTTTTAATTTTTTTGTCATAGTATCTATATAACAATTTTATCTAAAGGATAGGTGTCTAAACCTACTGTTCTGAATAGCTTCCTTGTACAATGTGCAATTTTGTATTGTGAGCTCATCTTAAATGGATTTTTATCTATGAAAATCCTTATGCATGGCTAGGAGAGTTTCCAACAGAAGTTTTGTGCCTGCTTTTACCTGTACATCCTCCTACCTGTCACTCCCATTAGCCATTTTATATGAACTTTGTGTTTTGAGGCTATGAAAATAGAAAAAAATTAAACTCCAGGCTTTAGAAGTTCTGACTCACAATTTATTTCTTAAAGAAGTCTACTATAGTATTTCAACACTAAGTCAAAAAAGACAACTTTCTTATAGTTTTCATGTTTTTGTTTCATGAAGGATTTAAATGGAAATTTTGTCATGTGAGTTTCAATTTCTCACCTTAAGACATCCAAAGCTTTCTACCCTGTACCTAGGTGGCATGATATATACCTGAGGTTTTCTTGAGCAGTTCTCTACAATCGTCACCACTATGAGCCCTAGTACCAGTTCATGTTTACTTGTTTTTAGACTCTGTGAATTTATCTTAACATTAATTTGAGCTCAGCTCTGCCTTAAGATCAGTTATATTTTAGCCAGATTTCTGATTTTTGTAATGGGATTGTTTCAAACTTCTGATACACCATATTGTTTATCAAGTAAGCATTTGGAAATGCTAAAAGATTGAACTCTCCTTAGAGATTCATTAGCCCGTTAAAAACCACTGATTTAAAAATCCCCTTCATCAAAACCTTTTTTGATATAACATACACAAAGATGTCTCCTGATTTGGGTTGGACCTTAAATCACTACTTTGCGTTTTCTGAGTAAGATATTTCTCCCAGTTTAATAGACTGGTTTCTTAAGGTCATTATTTGAGACTATCAGTAGGTCTGTGTTTGAATCATAGGACAGAGGGATTATCTTTTTGCTATAATGTATGAGCAGACCTGCAGTTTTAAAACAAATGCCAATACTGTTGCATGAAATACTGTACTTAAAAGCATAGGAAATGACCCTACTTCATATCATTTAAAAAATATAATTAGCTGTTAGAGTAAGATAATTCCTACTTTTCCAGAGTCAAAAGAAGAAAGGGTCTGGAGAAGGGCCAAATGACTTGATGTCGCTATTAAAACCATATGGCTTTGCCCACAGTTTTCTCATCTATGGAGTGGGCAAAGACATGAAATTATTAGAATATGCTGTTATTAGTCAAAATAAGTGAAAGTGGATGGTCAACCTACAACTTAGTAATTTGTAACGCTATTTATTAGAGTAAGACTTCTGCTTGGCATTCCCATAGAAAGCTAGCTTAAAAGGCAATCCCAAAGGGTAAAAGACCTATGATTTTGTAAACCTAGCAGGTTGTCTTCTGGAGGATAAAGATTCTCTGGCTCTATCCTATGGTTTCTAACCAAGTAACTACATAGTTATTTTAAGAAAGGGCTACCACTCCACCAGAACACAATACATTCAGATGGCATAAGGCTTTCCAAAGGGTAATTAATGTTTAATATGATTCTCATGTACATTAATCAGAATCCATTCAGTATTTATGGAGCCTACAAATTAGATTGCCTATTACAGAGTGGCATGGGAGAACGGGGGAGAAAGCTCATTAATTAGAAACTGTGTACCCATCCTTCTCAAAATGAAATGAAAAAGAAATAAAATCAACACTACTTAAGACCAGAATCTACCCTGCTGGTTTAGCAAATCTCCACCAAGAATGGATAACCAAGTTCATCCAAACTGAGATACAGCTAAGAAACATATTTCTGTATATGGGCAAATTAGCATTCTGAACCAGTTGCTCTGGGGTAAGGCCTTAGTGGTACGCAAGTTTAATAACTTTTTCTACTTCCTCCAATACTATTTTCCTAGAGGAAAACAGAATTCCCATTATATTAGTCTCTAAGCATATGTGAAGAATTGCCCAAATGAGTGTGGTTTTCCATGGCTATAGTGACGTGGTGGGATGGGGAAGAGGAATTACAGGTAGAGTGTGTGGTAGACCAAGCTGCTACCCTGTCCTAAGTAAAAACCAAACAGCCTCCATGTTGACCCGCTGATCACCCCACCACCACAGTTGTGTCGTTACCCATGACAACGGGTTTGCGCAGACAAGTGACCTGATCCGTGACATAGTAACACTGTGTTATACTATTGTTACATTCTCCTCCCAAAGTTTATGGTTAACTATTTCCTCTTACAATTTTGCGGTTTTTGCCTTTATAAACTGCCTGTATCTGCAAATAAATGAGACCTTGACAACTCTTTGCTTGGTCTCCTTCTTTCCGCGCCCCTCTTGTCTCATTTCCAGGTACTTCCCCTTCTCGAGCTCTGCCAATTACTGACCCCGCGGGCCGGGGCAAGAGTGAAGTTTCCTGAGAGTCCTGACTAGCTAAGTCCAGTGTCCTGGAGAAGGAGCAGCATTATTTTCCACCACTCCAGCCCTGGCCACCTCCAGACCTCCACAGAGAGTGAGACCCAAGAGGTCTGTGAAATACATTTCTATAGGCAACAGGTTAGGCCCTGATGAGGGGGAATCTGTGGATCTTTGGACTTGTCCTTGAGCAGCTAAAGAGCACATGGTTTAGGTTTCTCTAAGATGAGAGGTTTGGGGAAGAGGGGAAATGAATGGACAGATGGAAAATAAACAGAAAAAATATTTTTTAACAAAGTAATATTTTAAGTGCCTAAACAAATGGTTTTTGTGAAAATACTTATATGAAAAGCAATACATTATTTTGTTTTTAGTCATTACTATCATGTTTTGATGAAAATGGAAATTTACAATGAAATGAAACCATATGGGAATGAGAATTATGTACAATTCTGTGATCAGATGATCTGTAATTCAGGTAATGTCCTGCTTAAAACAGTATCTTGATTTCTCATTTCTGTTGCTGCATATGCTATTTGAGGAAGCAAGGAATACACAGAAAATAATTTAATGCACTGGGCTAAATAATCGAGACTATTACGAATATAAATAACAAGCATAATGTATTATAGTACAAACAATGTCTTTAGTATAAAAATTGCATTTCCACGAAGAAGCTGACCAGGCAACAAACAATTACACAAAAACATGTCAAAGTTGTACAAGTAACATATATACAATGTCACAGTCTACATAAAACTTGGCTGAGAATAATATATCACCTGAAGGCCACATCCCCGGCAGAAGTTATCAAAGGCTCCATTGAAAAATGGAACCACCTACTTTGGAATAGCTGTTCAAAAAACTGCCCTGGCATGTTTATCAGACTTGATGACCCCATTATTTGGCTACTGCAAGACAAGCTATAAGCTTCTCAAGAGGATCAAAATATAAAACTGAGGTAAAGATACTACATAAGGAGGAACTGTTTTGTTGTCACAAAAGATTTACATGAATACTCTCCAAAATGTTATTTTTAACAGAATGGGTCTACCACACTTCTATAATATTGGCAGAAGAAACACTGTAGTAGAGATGAAATAGAGTAGCGATACATACCACTTCACTTCAAAGACCACATGCTGAAATTTCTTTACCCTTTTCAACCTTTTTATCCCCCGAATACTTCCCATCCTACAAAGCAAGATACTGTACCAGCATCATACCTGAAGAACTTACTAATAGTCATATGTAAGTCTCCCTTTAAATAGCATATTTTAATCATCTACCCCAAAGATGTCACAGGATCAGTTCTGCAGACTAACATATACTCAAATTATGTAGCAACATCTGACCTTACAAGGAATTTGGCCATAAAAAGTCAAACTGGCTTTCTTCACCTAAAAGTCAATCTGGCCACCCTTGTTTACTTTCTGCTCCAGTGGTTATTTTTGGCTGACAGACATCGTACTCACAAGAGGCTGTGAGTGCAGCTATGCAGCGCACAGTCAGTGAACTGAATATGCCCTGTCCTTACCCATTCAAAGATTATACCTCCAAGGGAAAGGAAGAGGAACTCCCTATGCCTTGCTGCAGTACGAGATCTCCAAGCACACTGGCTTGGTTATAGATCTATCAAGAGAGCAGTAACAAAAGATATGAACAAAAAGGTAATTTCTGATACTACTTCCCATTTATGATGTCATCCTGCTCCAACTACCTGCACATAAAGTGCTGTGCACTGCCATTTCACAATCATTACTTTTATTTCATCCAATTTTAATTTACATAAAATACTATTCCATAATTAAATGACTGATGATGCAACAGAAGGAAGCATGGCTATTGTTTTAAAGCAAAATCATGTTTCCATGCACTTGATTCCTAAACTTATTACCAACAGGAAAAAGCCCAATGTCCCACTTAAATGCTGTCCTACTGAAATGCTGAGTCAATTTTGTTTAATTATTTTAGGTTGATATTTTCATTTAGTTTTATATTCATAAAGTATTGAAAACAAAGGCTTCAATTGGAGAGAAATTAAATTATGTGTGTACTTAGGCCATTTGACTGAAAATCCATCTTTTTACCAGGATGTCAATAAAGGAAAAATGGTTCCTATGGACAGATAAACTTTTACTGAATCGTCTTCTCGAATAAGTCCTTATCCTCACTTTCCAACTTTGTGAAGTACTGCAAATCCGTTTTTGTTATTGTTTTTATAGAATTAGGTACTATTTAGAAGACAACTGGAAACTGGCCTTGTGTGTATAAGCAACAGGGTAGATTATATTTCTTCATGCCTTCCCTCTAGTCAAATTTTCCACTAAAAAACTTAAACTTGGGGATGGGGCATTATATGAAAAAGCCAAAATATGAATCAATATTCTCTAACCCTGAACTTGAACTCATTATTCTTTTAAAACTTTATTTCAGTTGGTTGTGACAGAAAGAATTGTAGTTATGAGAGGCAAGTGCAGCTCAACTGATCCAGAAAAGCCTATATGGCACTTTGGGTAAGGAAGTAGAGGGCAGGAACACAAGGAAGGGAAGATACGGGCATGTCAAGGCTCTTGTAGTCCACTAGTGCCATTTATGAGCACGTTCCTGGCAGCTCCAAAGCTTCGTCTTCACTGTGCTAGAGGAGGAGACTGTTAACTGGTTGGAAAGATGAAAAATAACCATAGTCTCTAAAATTTGATTGTCAGAATAAGAAGCTCCATTGTGCGAGCTTTGTAGCAGCTTAGCAAAGGGCAGAGAGCTTCAGAACCCCACTCATGAGTGAGCCCCATTTTTGCAGCGTGTCCAGACAGAAATACATTACATGATCCTTTTTAATGATGACAGAAACTTCTTGAATTTCATAAACCTGTACTCATTTTTCTGTCTGGATCCAAGGGGTGTAGGATTGACTTCAGGCATCTTTCATAAGTTTGGAATCTAATTTTATGAATTTATTCTAAGACATAAATCAGGTATGAGAGAAGTAGATGGATGGATTTGTAAAAGAAATTTGGCTCCCTGGGTACTTACAGTAGATTCAATAATGAGAGATTTACAAAGATACAATTTTCTAGAAGATTAAGGAAAAAGGAAACAAAATCAAATCTTTCACTTCCCGGTATTGACTTGCATTAATTTTTTCACCAAAAGCACACCACTGAAGGAAAACCAGAAATGGTTTTGCAGTTATTAAAGTGATTCAAGAGCCAGGGAACTCCTTGAGACAAAAACAAAACAACAGAGAATTCAAGTTTTCTTCATAAGACTACCTTGTACTGTCAAAACTTAGAGCACTTCCGGCTTAAAAAGTGTTAAAGAAAAATTGTGAAAGAAAAAAAACTACTGCATGTTGGCCAAAATTTTTTTTTAATCTGTTCTGTAGAATCCTTACTTCTTCCCAAATCTCCGAAGGTTACACCATTTCATTCGAGATACTTGGCAGTCAGCTTCATGGACTTTGGTTATGGATTATCTAAACCTTTAAGCCAGAATAAATGTAGTAGCTTTAACCCAGTTGCTGTCTGAGTCTTCTCATTAAGGAATAATTGTGAAGACTGTAAGATTTTGGAGGAGGCCATAGTAAAGAACTTGGAGAAATACAGGTAAGAAATACAAGTAAGAAATAAAATATAACAAAGATTTCAAGGGCTTGAGTGACTTCCAAGCGCTTTCCTAAAATTATATCCAGGTCCCTCTCCTTTAAAGTGTCCACTCACAGTGGCACCTGGCATTTGTACAGTTTAACAAAAACGAATACCTACAACACAGAAGGAAAGGAAGACCTCTGCTGCACTTCAAAGATGCTGAGTGAAGGCTGGTTTGCTTTCATTCTGGGGGCCTGCAGCCTCATGCCTAGAAAGTGCTAATGAGGGAAGGAGTTGCCTCTTCTGGTTAAGACTTTCTAGCCAAGTAAATTAACTTACTCCTTTCCCAAGTTCCCAAACAGATCCTAACACCACTGGCTTTCTGTCTCCTTACTGTCATGCCTGAAAGATTCTTAAGACAGAATACATGAAGCTTACTGCCATGCAACCATATGACCACTTTTAAGAGAGAAGCTTGCTCATTCAGGGAAAAGTTAAGGATTTGGTTTAAACTGCAGACCAGAGGGAACTGTCATGAAATCTACAGTCCCTTATTGGCATGCTGACTCTTGCGCTGTCTCAGTGAGTCTTCTGCCACCTCTGTGTCAGCTGAGGGATGCTCAGTGGTGTCTCCTTTAGTCTCCTCAGGTTCAACTTTCTCCTGAACCACAATGGCCTCTGTCAGAAGCCCCTGGTCATTGGCATCACTCCTCTCCTCATCCACACCACCAGCCACGTTGTCCACTTCCTCTTCCTCCTCTGCTTCATCCTCGTCACCAAGGTCTTCTTTCTCCTCTTCATCATCTAAAAGGCTGTCCTTATTTTCTTCTTCATTGGAATCATCTTTTTCCTCTTCTGCATCCTGCAAATGTTCAGCTCCCTGAGCCTCCTCTGATCTCTGATTTTGCTCTGCAAAGAGAAAAATACTCTTTGATTAAACAATAGGAATTCAGGACTGAATTGTGTTTAGCTGAGAAGTGAAAAAAATAGGGCAACGACAGTTCTCTCCACTTTTAAAGCCTGGAACAACACAGAACAGAGTTATCTAGTAGGCACTCAAACTCCATTCAGGGCAGAAACAACATCATGGGGCTGCACTTAAAGCTAGAACACCCTCAACTTCCGATTATGACCTAATAAATCTCATTTTTTACCCTCAGAATTTTTTATATTAGGTTTCTGTCATATTTAGGATTTCTAAGGATCATATAATCTCAAAAACTAAAAATGAGTTTATTGAAACTCCCAATAAAACTCCAAAACTGTAATGTACCAAGTCTCAAAACAGGAATAAAGATATTCAAATCCAGGGCTATTCAGTGCCAGGTCAGGATGGAGAAGAGCAAAGATGTGGGGAGACTGCTTTTAAAGGACTTAAGGTAGATCATCACACACAGTAGAGGGTCAATAAATGTGAGTTCCCCTCCTCCCTTTTTGTTCCAATTTGAATGAGGAAGAGTTGCCCATTGGTTAATAAAGGGGATACATTGGGAGGAAAAAAATAATGACTAATAAGAAATATACTTTAAGACAGAAGGAAAAAAACAATTCTTGTCCTAATCTACCTGAAGAGCATATATCAAGGAATCTGATGGTGATAGTTTGGTCAAATAGTAAATCAGGGAGAAAATTCAGTATCTCCAAAAGCAAAACAGGGAATCCACATCAGGGAACCACAAAATTCCAAAACTATTGTGCCGCATGAGCTTATTATACTCACCAGAATGTTCAGATAAATTCCTTGGATGTGGTGCATAGAAGCATTCGGATATTATCACCAAAACCTGGAGGGAAGAAAAGTGATTGTTACAGTTAATTCAGAATCAGGCCTTGCTTCTATAATCAGATATTCTTAAGGCAAAATAATTAGCAGCTGGTCAAAAGTCTTCAAACAGCCATGGATATAATTAAAAGTTTCCTTTCTTTAAATGTTTACATAATACAGGAAAAGATTATTAATGCAGAACAAGGGCCACAAAGTCAATAGTCTACAGAGTCCACTATAAATAAATGAATCAGGCAGGTGTAACAGACAGGAGTGACCAAATCTAAAATTCTCTCTTTCAAAACACTATTTTAAACAAAACTACATTTGAACTGCTCCACATTAACAGGTAAGAGGTAACACTCAAGTAAGGGGAAGAACAAGTCAGGATCTAGAAGCCTTAAGAAATAGAAAGAAACTTCCAACTGTGTGAAAACTCAATGGCACCACCTAAATCCTGGGCTTCACTGTAACTGACCATGAATCCTTTTCTACTATAAAAACGTCTTTATCAAGCTTCTTAAGGGCAGAACTGGCCCAGACCACATTCCCTATCAAGGACCAGCCAGCACCATACTGATGAAACTGAAGGCTTTGTCCAACAAGGCAAAGTCACTTGGAGCCATGCTCTCCATCTGGGACTGAGCATCACACAAGACAGCCATCAAACACTGGAAGAAACTGCATGTTTAGAAAGTGATATATTTCTTCTTGTACCATCTGGCATGGTGGTGAACGCCTGTAAACTCAGCATCCTAAGAGGCTGAGGCTGGAGGACTGCCTCAAATTTGGCATCAGCCTGAACTACTTCAGGGACCCTGTCTTAAAACAAACAAACAAAATTTCTGGCTCCTAGCTAACACTTGAACTATGATTTCTCTTTGAGTAAGTGCCCCATCTGTAAAGATAAGAATACTACTAAATATACCATTTTATAGGTATTCTGAAATTTTAAGTCAAAGTCATAATCCCTTTGACTAAATGTTATACAGATCAAATGAATGCCTTCCTTAGTCTGTATTCAGGATCATTACTATATATATTCACTTATTACTTTACTTAACATTTGGTTCATTAGATTCAAGCTACCATGTTAACATCTGAGAGGGAGGTGTTGAAAGTAAAAAAATGCCAGTTTAATTATAAGGCAACATAGAATAAAGGTCTCACGCAAACAATGAATAAAGCATTTTGATGCTTGAGATATTAAGAGATTACATCCCATTATGGGGTGACGAAGGATCAAGAATTCCCCTGAAAGAGGAGGCAGTAAGCCTGTGGGTCTTGTCAGGAGAAGCTATGCAACACCCCACTGCTGCTTACTCTAAGCTGCCCAGGTGGAATCACCAAGGTTCTGGTATCCACAGAAAGCCTCAAAGGCCAGGCTGAGGATATTCCCAGGTGAGGGGATGGGATGCTGTTCCATATGTTAAGGAACAACAAGCTCCAAGCCACTTAGTATGGCTTATATCTAGATTACTCTTCAAAGCCTCATGTGCTCATAGGCATGGGCTTTTGGGGGGTGATTTGATTGATCATGGGTGTATTATACCAGATTAAGTGTGTAATATCTGGATTAGTCCACTGATTGGTTTGAAATAGTTCATGGATGTACGTGACGGAAAGGCCCAACCTGGATGTGGGAGACACCAACCAATAGGCTTATAGACTGGAAGGACTAAAAAGGAAAGCAGAAGGAGGGCTGGCTGCCTTCTGCCTGCCCTGCTATGGGCAGCTTCTCCTCTGCCATGATGCCCTGTGTTGGAGCCAGCAGACTGTGGATTGAAACCTCTGTGAGCCAAAATAAACCTTTCTGCCTTCACTTGTGGGTGCTGGGTATTTTTCCAAGTAATAAGAAAAGCAAATAAGATACCATTAAATTGATTTGAGTAGCAAGGATAGTCATGTATTTATTTATTTTTTATTTTATTGAGTTTATTGGTACTTTTTAAATATACAGTACAGTTAGATACATCATTGGGATCTTGTACCTTTGATAGTTATGTATTTATAAGCTAGTTATTCATAGGGCATAATATATGTGTGTGTTTTTGTTTTTGTTTTTTATTTGTTCTTTTTTTCCTTTTTCTAATCTCACCAGGGGAGGGCAAGTTTTGGTCCTGACACATTACAAGGGTAGAAGAAACACCTTTCAACAAGGAGTACAGCATTTTCCCACAAAGGCGAGGAATGAATAAACTGCACCTGTGATATATACAGGGGCCCCAAGAGGCTGGCTGGGTCCTGGGGCCCAAAAAGGATTCACAGGACACCTGGGTCACTCATCTTACATTAGCATTATGACCTCAGACAAGTCAACTGCTTTCCAGTTTGCAGCATTACTCAAAACGATGACACTGGACCACACTTGGCCAGTTTTATTATACCTAAGGGTGCAGTGTTCTATATATGTCTTCTTTCTTGGAAAATGGGAGGGAAACTCTCTAATTTTTTTCATTAGATTCTCTCATTTCAAGATCTATTTTCTGATCTAAAGAACCACTCACTTCAAATGGGGAACTAAGCTACCTTAACATGGCACTGTTTAAAATCAGAGTCTACAGGGGAGCGATGTCTTCTTCTCATCTACAATAATCTTTTCAGGTTTTAGTTTCTACCTTCATACGTGCACAAGGAGAACAGGTGGAGTTTCACATCCATAACTCTAAATTCTAGAGGAGACAGACACTGGCCAATAGCATCTAGAAAAAGAATACACTTAAGCACCAGTTTTTAGACAGTGCCTCTACACATATCAACAAAAAAGAGAACAGATAATAAGAGGCAAAAGCAAGCCTGGCCTCCTCCTGTTCCTGTGATTGAGCAATTTGAGTTGAAAAGCCCTTAGACCTAAGCCACTGGATCACTATTTGCATTTACCATGGCTCTTCCACTTGTCTGAAACTTTTCTGCTTTCCAGCCTCCATGGACAGTCACTGATGGCAGATAGTGATGCTGCCTGGGTGATCTACAGATTGTGACTAAGGATCTCTCTCATGTTGGCTGAAAATGCAAAACACATACTTGATTTTTTTTTTTTCTTGGCTGCATTTTAATGTGAAATCTGTTTTGCTCTAAGAGACATTAAAAATAATTCTTACCAGACCCATGAAAAGGCCAAAAACCAAAGTAGCAACGATGAAAAAGATGTAAGAACACCAAGCAGGAATTCCAAGGGTCACTGTGAAATAGTTGTGAAGATGCTGCAATCAAAAGAGAAAGAATAAAATATTGCTTATAATGAGGACCAAAGATATTTGAATCCCTTTCATTAGCTATAACTCCAGGCTGCCAACTACTCCTTCTACATAAGCACCCACAAAGATTTATTCAAATGATTCCTAACAAACAATCCAAATTTTACGGCACTGGGAAACGAGTCATAATCAAAGTTATATCTAATACAAGTTCAGGATCTGAACAGAAGCCTGGTGGAACTGTTTTGCTAGTCCTTTCTTCCATCATGATTTTTTTTGTCTCCGCTTAACTAATAATTATATACCATTCGATGTTTAATCATAATACGGTATTCATTAAAAATAAAACTTCTTAGGCCTTTATCAATGTTTAGATAAGGCTATATGATTACTTAGTGAATACCACCATTTCAAATGTCTCTGGATTTTTTGTAGTCAGGTTCTTACAACTCTACTAGTACCCACCCCAAACAAAATGTAGTATTAGAAAGGTTTTCCTTGTTAATTCATTATAAACAAGTGAAACTTCATTTGTCTTCATGTTCACTGTACATCCTTTCATGCTTATTTTTCTCTGGACCTTTACTTAATGACAATACATAAAAATAAATGAAGAGATACAATCTTAGTTTGGAATTGTTTACATGCTAAATCACATAGAAATTAGAGATGAACCTGCTCATTAATGTCAAAGTTCATTTAAATGTGGACTTGCTGGGGACATGCTTCCCCATAATGATTTAGTCATCTGTTTTGAGCTTTATAGCTTATAAAATGGTCATTAACTACAATTTAAGCAATTACTGGACACAAGATTAAATAGCTCCAAGTTTAGGTATCACCTGCAAGTGCAGATTAATTTGATGATAGTGAATCCAAGTTTCATATTCCTCAAAATCTAAACCACTTCCACTGGCTTTCTATTGCTTACATCAAGCAATAAAATATTTTATTCTGGTTTAATTCTAAATAATAGACAAGCAAAGTAAGTTTATTAAGTGATCTAGGATAATCTGATAGATTTAAAGATCCAGCAAGTAGTTTAAATAATAACACATGTAATCAAAGTATTTAATCAACATTTGGTTAGTAAGGAAAAGACTTATCAAATGCTTAATGATTCACAGGAAATACAAATAAGTTCTTGATTTGTAAAGCCATCTTATCCTCTGTTGACAGCCCTGGTCACCAGCTTGTTCCAGAGAAGACAAGTGTTTATTAAGAACAGCCCTGCATTCTGCAACCCAGCAGGCAAAAGAGGTACGTGAGATATCAAAAAGTAGCTTGAAGGCATAGGGATTTAGCTCAGTGGCACTGCCCCTGCCTCCCATGCACAAGGTCCTGAGTTCAGTCTCTGGTATTGAAGGACAAAAAAAAAAAAGGAAGCTTGAAGTTCTTTTCAATACAAGTTCTAAGAGGATTTGCACAGTTATGTACTTTAGAAAATATTGTATGCTGAATACTTTATATTTTTCCTGATGATTAGTACCTTCATCAAGATAAACCCTGAAAAGTAACAAAGAATCAGATGTTGAGAGCTACTCTTTCTCACCAGTGGCTCTGCCTGCATTCTAGTAACTGCTTTAGGAATACCTTCTGATTTAGTTTACTCATATGGTTAGAATGAATAAGTGAACTTTTGGGATAAATACTGTGCAGTGTATAGTCCCTCTGGACACTGACTTATTCCTTTACTGAAAAACAAATAATGAAAGCAATCCTCAAGAAATTTTCTTAATTTGATTTTTAAAAATCAGCCTTTTAATTACTGTATTTCAAGTTTAACTCTTTTTAGTATTTTCAAAACATCCTCTTATTTTAACAAGCCCCACTTTAGTTTTCTTACTACATTACTCCTAAAAGAATTTGCCCTTCTTACAAAACTCTGCCATCTTGTGGCCCATTAGGTAATTATTATTATTAAAGATATGTAATTTATATAGCAAAAAAAAAAGATGTTTTCATAACACAGACATAAATCTTTTACCTATTTACTTTAAGCTCACAATGGCTTTAGAGCCCCTTACAGCTGTTGGGATTCATGGCATTATATACTTAAAATTCCTCACTACATATAAGTTTCCAAGGTAATAACTGATCTTGTCTAATTCAATTTTAGATTTGTATGTTTGTTTCTTTAACCTCTCTTAAAGTATCAGTTTTCACACTTGTGCAAAATATTGATTCTTATTCAAAATTACATATGCTCAGTACAAGAAAGTGCTCTACTTTGTTTACTGAAAATGCACTAAAATATCACCTGATGGGCATGATACCCTGTACTATTATATATTGTACCAGATGACTAAGTCAGAGCTAATTTTTGGCTACATACAGACTTAAGTGAGTCTAAATGAAAGAATTATTTTAATAGAATAAACGAGAATGTTCCAGTGGCTGGACAATTTTAAAGGAACACAGCAGGCCAAGGTCCTCATGGTCAAAAGGAAAACCTCCTCTGACCAGAACAGCCAGCACTCACTCTGGAAGCTGAACTAATAAGGCAAGATTAAGTGACACCCGGGCACACCCAGCAATCCAGCCCAGTGTGGCATGGTCTGATTCAAAGTTGCTCTGTCCCTGAAGGGCAGAGAGCCTTTGAATTTAGAGCTTGCCTGTATCACAGAATATATACCCTGAGCATAGCCCTTCGTCCTTTTCACACACGAATTAGAACCCCCTCAATATTTCCCTGCCTGGGAGTAGCTAGGAAGGATTCCACTGTGGTGAGCAAGGAAGCGTTTCTCCCTCTATGTTTTTATCTCTCAACACTGGTAATAAGACCTACCCCTGGAGCCTCTTGTAGGCTGCATGAGAGTTACCTCATGGATGGACACCATCCCACTTTAACATTTGACTAAACAGCCTAGACATTTTTATAAGGGTGGAAAACAGTAAGAGAAGTGATGCTGTTATCTCAATCACAGATGAATGTTTTTAGGTTTTAAACTACAGTGTTATTCTCCAGGCTAAACACTCATGGCCTTTACTTCTCATTGGATATTTAGAAAGCCTTAATCTTCTGTTACATATTTCTCTAATCAAAAGGGAAGACAGTATGTATCCATCACAAAGACTGTCTTCCCAAGAATGCTGCACATTTTATTTGGATTAATATTTGTAATATGCCTACATCTTTTCCTTAACAGTAACACATAGGACAGGTAAATTAAATCCTGTATTACACCTCAGTAACAGTTCAGATTCGCCAAATCTGACATAATAATGCTCTATAAATTTTACATACTAAATCTAGTTAGCAAAATGCAAGTGCCATCAAATTATAACTTAAGCCTGTTATTTGCCTTTGTTAAAATAAATAAATAAATAAATACAAAGTTTTTGGAGTTACCTATAACCAGAAGAGAAACTAAGAAAACAAAGACAACAATGATTAATCGCTGCGACAAAAAACAGTTATGAAGTACATGCTAGGTGCCAGGTCTCACACTAAACATTCAGAGTTCTGGTCTATGACAATAAAACAAATGCATTCAGAGCAATGCACATAAAATGGAGAACAGCCTGTGTTCCTGCAAAAGAGGACAGGCCTCTCTGCAGCACAGTAGCTGTGAAGAGATGAGAAGACAGGAAAACCAGGTGACTCTCTCCACATGTGTACCATCATCTAAATCTTAGCCCTGGATTCTACCAGACACAACAGTGGTGCAATCGGAAATTCAGCATTCTCCACATTACTTTCATGACATTCATCCTACCCTGTGCCATTCTGTATAGAGTATTAACATTCTCATTAAGTCACTCTTTTGAGTTACTTTTTTAAACCTGGAACAATTTTTAAAGAATTTTTATATTACTAATTTTATAATAGAAAATCAATGAATTTGTGCTTTGAAACTACCCAAGATGTGCACTTCTAGGCTTCAGTGATTCTAATGGAGAGGGTGGAGAGTCAAGACTAACCATGAGGACAGAATTGTAGCTGACTGCCAATTATTTCTATGAGTTTCTGTAAAAGACTAAAGCTCACACGTGAATGCCATTTGACTAGATTAGAAAGACAATTTGAATTTGGTGATGGGTAGAACACTGAAGATCATCTCTTCCCCATACTATGGTACAAATTACCTATCAATAAATCCTGAGAGTCATGGTAACAGCAAGAAGCTCATAGGAACTGACTGATCAAGGCTATTTCAAAGGACTTCCTCATTCAAAGGTTTATTCAAGAAGGAAAATATGGCAGGTTGGTGTGCAAGGTTATGAATGCCAAATAAAATGTAAACAAACTTCTGAATTCACAGAAATTCAGCTATGTGGGTAAACCCACACAATCCTCCTATCCAAGACCAGCTTTTATCCCTAGCAAGTCACAGGACAAAGTTGGCTTCACTCCTGTGGCAGAAACTCAAGGATTTTAAGGAATCACTAATTAAGCTGGTTTTGATCATCTAGATAATTGCTTGTTTCTGCTGGTTCTTTTTCACCACAGTAACATTAGAAACTACAGAATAAAATGATGGATTGTAAAAAATCTGCCTTAATGCCAGTATTAGGGAAAAACGTTGATATCTACCTGATCTCTCTGTAGGTATTTTTCTATATACATGGTCATATTGTTTGGTCACCCTTCCCCCCTTAATAACCTGCATATTTCTCTTTGGAAGTATTTGTATCTAACCAGTTCTTCGTGTGGGAGTTTCAACAGTTGAGGAATGTCTAACTTCTATCTGTCTTTGTGCGCACAGAATTTCAGTAGGATACAAGAGATTACAGGTAAGCATCAATAACCGGGCCTTCCTGGCATTAGCCACCCTCCCTCCTTCCCACTTTTTCTCTTCTTTGTCTGAGACCCCAATCTCTCTGGTTGTAGCCTTCTCTGTAGTCTCCCACCATCTCACCCTCTTCTCTCCCATGGGCCATACTTCTTCCATTCATTATTAATATGGTTGCACTGAAGTTTTATACGAGTTAAAAACAGATTATATTCCCCAAAATTATATATTCAATCTTAATGTGAGGTTTCTGACTAAAAAGAAGAGCCAGCTAAATGAGCCTGTCCGGCAACTAGGGCATAACTAGGCCTAGCTGAGTAAGGGCACCAAGGTCAGGGCCTTGAGGTAGAAGTGGGAATTAAAGACCCAATGGGACAGGAAGACTGGGCTATGAATAAAAAATCAAGGGCCAGATTCCAATGTATCAGCTGTATCTCTTTGCTGATACAGTCTCTGAAAGTAAAACTTCTCTTTACCACCTATGATAGCCGGACAACTTCAATCTAAGCTCTTCTGAACCTGCAGGACAAATTCATTTCACCATCTGCTTTTACCATTGGTTCTGTGCTAAGAGCTTGCTGTCAACACTGTCTGAAATCCATCTATTACAACTGTTCTGTGGAATTAGACATTATAATGCTACAAGGCTCAGACAGCTATTGAGCTAAATGACTTTATCGGCATTTAATGTCAACACCCTGCAAAAAGCAGAACCCCTACCCTCAACTCCCAGTTTATAATTCTCTGGGCCGGGGATTTAGCTCAGTGGTTCGGTGGCCTGCCTTTCAAGCGCAAGGACTCGAGTTCGATCCCCAGTACCAAAAAAAAAAAAAAGAAAAAAGAAAGATAAAATTGTAATTCTCAGTCTTTGATTAAACTTCTCACTGGTGTTAATAAAAGAGAAGGAAACCATATGAAACAAACTATCCAGAGAGAAGGAAATACTAGTTACTATGGTATTTAATATGATAAATGTTAAGAAAAGTTAAATTTTAACCACAAAAGACTGAATCCAAGTTTCTGATTAGTGTTATTAGCGTTTTAACAAAAAAAAAAAGAGAAGTATTTATCTCACAAGACAGAATATATAACTAAGAACCCAAGACATAAGATTGATCTTAAATTTCCCTTAACATATATCAATGTGCATGAGACTTCATGAACTCCTTAAATATTAATTTCTAATGAGACAATAACCCACAATCATATCTTAGAAAAGACATATATAGGAGTTCACATCTAAAGGATCATTTAAAAATATTTTAGGCTATATGTAATTCCAGGACATTTTTACTAAATCTATTGGATTTAGTCCCACTACAGAGAAGGGAAACAAAAGGTTATGGAACATACTCAAGGTTATATAATAGCTCCATATTTTAACATGAACAACATACTAAAACAACTATACAGTCACAGATAGGAGGGGGCTCAGTAAACTTTTCCCTAAAGGCTAGAAAGTAACTAACTAAATAAACTAGCAGGTTCCAACTTCTGTGTCTCCACTCAGCTCCAGCTGAATAGAAAAGCAATCATAGACAACAGACTGTGTTCAAATAAAGCTGTTTACAAAAATAGGCAGCCCACCCACAGGCTGTAGTTCACTGATTGCTGACATACAGAACTACTTTTAGACTTAGAAAATCTTTAATCTGTAAGAGATTTGCCAATGGTAACATAAGATAAAGTAAAACCACACAAGCCTTTCTACTTTGATAAGGACTTCAGCACTGATCTAAGAAAATATGACTGCAACATAGTTGCCACAGAGCACTGCTCAAATCATGCCCTTCTACACACAGACACATTTCCACTGGCCATGCTGACAGTTGTGTGGCTTAAGAACAAAGTAGAATTAATTCTAAAAGTACTTATAAATGGGTATTTTCCTATTGTTTAAAAGCTACATTTTATTCTTAAACATCTCTGAAAGTATAACAGTTTTATTTAAGATTACTCACCCAAATCTTGCCAGAGATGCTAAAAAGACCAGCCATTCCAGACATCCTTAAAAAAAAGAGAGAAAGAAGGGAAATACTATGAAAAACAAAAGCAAAACAAAACTCAGGTCCAGGATATTTCCCTTGCATTGATCCTATTTTTTGCTGTACTCTGTTCTCTCCTAGACTTACTCTGCTCTTAAATAGTCTAATTCTGTGGCCAACACTTGACTCACTTTGTTGAAAATACATTCTCATCCCTAGGCTCTTTATCCCTTCATCGTCCATACTGGGCAAAACCCCAACCCTAAGCAGCTGGACATCTCCAGGCAAAGATCCTATGCCTAGCTGACTCCCAAATATAAAGCAGGGCTCAATACCACCCAAACCTACGTCTTTAGGCTGAGATAATAGCTGACTGCCTTTTCCCGCTTTTTAAACCTTATACATCCTCCCTTCCCCAGACTCTCATCTAACACTCTTCATATCATTGTGAAATCAGAAGCCATTCCACCACTAAATTGGAGGCTTGTGCACACCTGCATGAACCTTCTCCTTTCAACAGGAAAGTCTTGTCTGCCCTACCATAGTTTAATTCCTCCACTTGTGCTTGAATCCTATCCTTCTTGCTCTGTGAATGACTTGCTTCTTTCTGTCATCTGTTCCTCCTCCATTAGCAATTTCTCTGTCTCTGCTGCATCAGCCTCCTCAGCATGCAAACATGTTCTGTTGGCTTCCACCTTTTAAAAAGAGCAATCCACAAACTTCTCCCATGAGTGGTTCCCCCACTCGCCATTTCTTCTTCTGTGACCCCTCTTTAACCCACTCAAATCTGACCTCCACCCTCACTGCTATAGTATGAAGGCTCGCCAAGGCCAGATGATCTCACCTTGCTTTATTGTATGTCCAGATCAAACCTAGTCTTTCACCTCATTAACACTGCACACAGGTAACTACTCTTTCTTTCTGGAGCACTCTTTGACTTCTAGAAAATGGTACACCACTTCTTTTCTGCCTCCCTCATTAGTAATCATTTTTAGTTTTCTTGTGCTGACTCATTCTCTACCCAACTTCTTCATTTGGGAATGGCTCATGGACCAACCCCAAGCATGCCTCTTTTTCTTTCTAGGTGTTCCCCTCCTTCCTCCCGAAGGCTCTGAGCACCAGCTAAATGTTTCTGAATTCTCCATAAAGACCCATCATCATGCATCCATAGCTCTACAAAGTCTGTGTCTCAAACTTCTCAAATCCAATCAGAATTCTTGATTTGTTCTTGACCAAATAAGTAGCAAATACGAAGACCCACCGGGTACTCAAACACAAAACCCTAGAGTCTTTAGTTGAGAATTCTCCCTCTCTTCACCTTGGGCAGGTGCTCAAAATCTACTCATTCTCTCCATCTCTATTGTTGCCACCCTGCTCTAGGATGTGGAAGCTGAAAGCCTCTGGCTCTCCTCCTCCATTCTTGCCCTTTCCAATCTCTTTACCTAAGAGTCAACTTCTCACTGCATGCACTGGTAACTGCCTAGTTCCTCCATGGGACCAGTCCTGTATCATCTGGCTTTCACGCCCTCATGCCACCTCCCCTCCCTTTCACTTGGCTCCGACTGCCTAGTCCTGGACTTCCCAGACATAGCACTCTTTCCCAAGCAGGGGCTCACGTGCATGCCATATGCTTCCCGGGTACATCTGACTCCCTATGCTTTACCTGGGCCAGTTCTTTCTACCCTTCAGATCTTACTTCTAATCCTCCCCTCAGACCAACATCTCCTAACTGCTCTAACTCTAGTTTCTCCCTTTCTTAGTAAAATATATCCATCTTTAACTGTCCCAGACAGATTACGATTCCTTGTGTCTTTTTCCTGATTTGTTGTACTCACTTTAAGTTATCTGAGGGGAACTGAGGGGCCATGACTGACTCGTTCACTGATAAATGCTTAACACCACCTAAAATAATACCTGGCATAAAATCAGTGTTCACCTACTTAAATAATGAAATGCTAGAAATAAACTCCATGCTTCCTGAGTATTAATATAGATGTCATTGGATGATTTACTCCTGAAACATCATACCATCTGTTCCTATGTTAATTGGGATAGTTCTTACACCTGTATATGCTAAACTAAATTATATATATGACCATTCAAAATTAAAACCAACTGAGAAAACAGATACGGCCTTATCTACTACTATACCAAGTACTACACAGTTTACCACCACAGCCAAAACTTACCCACAATACTGTGCAAGGTGGACAAAGACAGCATAGGTTTTCTATGAGGGGGGAGCGGAGGAGAGGGGTTACCAGGGATCAAACTCAGGACCTTGTGTTTGCAAGGCAGGTGGTGGCAACACTGAGCTAAATCCCTGGTCCTCATAGTTTTCTTTTCTTTTTTTGTTTTGTTTTGTTTTTGGTTTTTTGAGACATGGCCTCACTACGTAGTTGAGATTGACCTGGAACTCACTATGTAGCCCAGGCTGGTCTCAAACTCACAGTGATCCTCCTGCCTCAGCCTCCGGAGTGCTGGGATTACAGGTGTCAGGTGTAATAGTTTTCTTTTCTTTTTTTGTTTTGTTTTGTTTTTGGTTTTTTGAGACATGGCCTCACTACGTAGTTGAGATTGACCTGGAACTCACTATGTAGCCCAGGCTGGTCTCAAACTCACAGTGATCCTCCTGCCTCAGCCTCCGGAGTGCTGGGATTACAGGTGTGCACCACCACGCCCGGCCATAGGTTTTATTTTCTATGTAAGATACAATTAGCAATTCCTTCACAAACTGTAATTCAAGAAAGAACTGCTCCTACACCTTACCAATAATTTACAAGAAGAAAAAATAGCAACTGATGTTCAATACCAAGTTTTATAAAGAGGACACAGTTGGCATGTCTTCTGGCAAATGCTGGAAGAAAAGCGGTCACCAATCTGGCTGCTTAACTCTCAGTTGACTAAAAACTCCTAAAACATATGTGAGTCCACAAAACCAGTAACACTACTTGGGCTAATCTTGGATATGGACAGGCTAGGTAACCAGTAGTGATTAGGGAGGAAAATGCAGGCTTGTAAGACCCACAGACTAACTTGATACCACTGTTTTATTTATAGCACTGTATCATTAAAAAATTGACAAGTTACGTTAGAGAAGCTGGGGACTTCCAGCCAGTCAGAGGCTCAACTGACTGCCACTTCTTTTCTAAGATGTAATTCTGGAGATCTTCAAAGATTCCTGGGCCTCGGTAACGGCGGAATATCCCATCTTTTGCACTAAAGATTTTTAAAAAGCAGAAAAATAAATGAGTCAAAATAACAAGTATTACAGATAATACATAGTAAAATAATTAAATATGTGAGTACCATGGGAATTTAACTTAGATCAAATGAAGACACTTATAATTAAACATAAATCAGAAGACATGAATAAATTTTAGTGTTACAAATGAGAAATTCCCAAACAGAAAAGTATTAAATGTTTTACTTTCATCATTACAGAATTTGTAGCCATAAGCAAAGTTCTTGGCAATCCTTAGTCTATCAAGTCACTTTTCATTATTTGCTACCAATTATTTTACTTTTTTTCTCTAATAGAAAAATAGCCATTGTTTTCAGGTTAAAAACTGTATCCACATTTCCAAATAGATGTCGTTCAATTCCCTTACCTCAAAATCAACACAAATTCTGCTTAACCTCACACCTCTCTCAGCCCTCCTGCCCTCTTACCCTTTTCTCTAGTCAAGCTTCCCAGGGCAAATGTCTCCACCTGTGATTTTCTCTTCTTCAGTACTCATTCACTACTCAGTGAGATTGGGGTTCTGTCCCCAGGACTCCAGTGAACCTGCACAGACTGAGGGTCTTCAGTGATTCCCAAGTGCCATATATCATGGAGCACTTTCTGGACATTTTCCATTCACCTGTTCACTCCCACCATCCACGACCTTTGTCTTTTAGCCTGACAGACCCCACAGCCTTGTATATATTAGGCAAGTACTCTACCACTGAGTAACAACCCCAGTCCATTTAGTCTGACTTTTAAGACCTGAGTTCTCTAGACTTTTTCCTACTATTCTGACAATCCCTTCTCAGTTTCCTTCATTCACGGAAGACAGATGTCCTAATACTGGTCAATTCCAGGTTCTATCCTTTACTTGATTATCCTCCTATTATATGTGTTTTCTGTAGATACGATAATATTTCAAATTTTATGTATTTTAATGCTGAGAAATTCCAAACATGAATCCCCGGGCTAGATCTTTCTTCTGAGCTTTAGATGCTGACATCAAACAGTCACCTGAATTTCCCCATCTGGAATCAGCAGAGGCATTCACACTATCTTCTCCATTCCAGCTCCATCTCCCAGAGGTCATCTTATTCTAAGGTTTCCTTATCTTCCAGGCCAACAACAGTATTTACTAACATGACTTGTATACAGTCAACATAAACTCTTCCTTCCCATGGATAATCAGTCACCAAACCCTAATAATCCTGCCTCTTACGTATTTCCAAAATCTAGCCCTTCCTTCTTCTTCCCCCTAACACTATCTAGGCCTCTCTAGCCTTATCACCCAGCACATCCAACCAAATGCTATGGGCCAACAACATAGAAATAGTTACAATTATCATAAGGTCTCCTTTTCTCCCAGGCTCGAACATACCATTTCCTTTACTAAAAAGGCCTTCTCCATCTTGTCAGTTTAATCCATCCCTACTCATCTGTTATGAACTCCCTACCTTTTAAATCTTGAGAGAAGTCTCTGAAGCCCTCCTCCCCTCTTTTCCCAGCCTGAAATTAAGGTGTACTCTCTCTACAGCATTCTAGGCAATTCCTTTTTTGGCAATGTCATTCAGAGCAGTGGGGTTTCTCTCTCTCCCAATATTAAAACTCTCCCAATATTATGCAAGTAGTCATAGAAAACATTTGAGAATTCCTATGTATCTACTAATTTTTAATCTTTGCAAGACCATAAAATTATTTAAACTTACTGAAAAAAGGCTGGGAGAGTGGTGACAAAGAAACGGCCACTCAAACCTACAAGAAATATATACGAAAAAGTTATTAGTGAAACTCAGAGTAATATCCAAGAAAGAGCATCCTCAAGATACTTTCATAATCATATTATTTAAATCACTTTTATTTTTAACCTACACTTACTACTTTCTTTTAACCCATCTTACACTTTTCAGTTACTGACATAGAATTTACCTTCCATGGGTTACCCTGGAATTTGCTGATTTGTGTATCAATTTGGATTTTATGGAAGAGGAAAGGATAGGTTACAGACTCATACAATCTGGGTCAAATATTAACTTCCCTCTGTACTTTCTTAATGGCTTTAGATAAATTATTTGACCTTTCTGAGTCTCAATCACTTCCTCTGTAAAATTGGTATATTAAAATAAAATGAACTGTCCTGAAGTTAGATTAGGTCAAGTATATTAAGAGTTCAAATGCCTGGCACACAATAAAGGACTCAAAAAAGTATAGACATTATTAGCACCAACTGAATAACAGTAAAACAAGATATACCTCAGATCATATTATAATCTTTACACACTTATAAAATTCACAATTACTGTAAAGGGAATATGTAGATACAGAAACTATGTTTTTTCCAATTTGTCTTAGCAAATCTTTACTAAACACTAAATACATACAAGTACCAAATGCTATTACTATGTATATGGAAAGACAATGATAATAAAACCCTTAGTCAGCAAATATTTACTAAGAAGTTTTTCTGTTCTAGCACTATGATAACTGCTCAAGACACTTGGATAAATAAAACAGGGATAGTTGGTTCTCAGAGCTCATCGAGCTTACAGTCTACTGGCAGAGAGAAGGATTTGCACCCAACAATCACAATCATGACTCTAAAATGAGATAAAAAATAACAAGAAAAAGAGGTACACAACAAAAATGTAATAAGATTTCAGGTAGAGAAAAGATCCCTGTCCTTTAAATGCTTGCAAATAAACAATATTTACTAATAAATTCTATTTCAGAGAGCACCAAGAATTAAGTGAGGAGAAAGTGAATGGACCCAGCATGGAAAAATGACAGATATCATTTTAACATTTCTGACCATTTTTACCTTTCCCACTGAAAAACAACAGAGACAAAATCAAATGGCTATTCATATCAAGTTGCTCAAATTGTACATCTCTGTGGTCCTTTGAAATTTAAATACTTCAGTTTTTACTAATACATGAAATTTGCTTTCACTCAGTTTATCACCTAAGTCCATATTCTGCATAGTAGTTTTTGATTAGTGATGGTTTTCTTAAAGGAAGTTTCTCTAACTTTTTTTCAAATCAGACCAAATGACCTCTAAAACATCCCTAAGGTACTTAAAAGGAAGCATAGTACTATGGGAACAGTAAGTCAATGTCACATACATACATACATACACAAAAATTAACTATTTACATTTGTTCTTGTATATTTTTTTTTAAAAAGTTGTATTATCAGTTACAAAAACACAAGGACTTCGTGACCTAAAGAGAGGCCAGCTGAAGATTTTAATAAGTACCTCATTCTGAGGGCATATTCACATCTAGTCCTGCCTAAAACTCTCTTTATGGGGAACCAAGGTATCCTGCAGTACAGTCTAACTTTAAATGCCAGGAGGAAAAGTATTGGTATTTCTAAGTGCTTACAAATTACTAATGCTTTTGGTTTACAAATAATACCATAGCTCACTTTTTTCTACCTAGCTATGGTTTCTTATACCTACTTCAAAGTTTTATCAAAGGAGAATTATGAAATCGGGCAAGGTCTACAGCCATACAACACTGAATGCACCCAATCTGGTCTGAAATTGGGCAAGTATGCTTTCTTTATATGACCTTTTAAAGGAATGAACAAAATAAACAGTAGCTAATCACTTTTTAAAGTTTTTAACTTAGATTTTATTTTTTAAATTTATTTTTAATTTAATTTAATTGGCACATTTAAGGTACACAATATAATGACATTCATCATTGAAAATATGAGCCTTTACATAATCCATCTTGGTTCTTATTTTTGCCCCAATCCCCTGCCCTCCCTTTAATCCCCTCCACCCCTTCCTATCTACAAAGACTTTGTTTCCATTTTTCATTTTATTTCTATCACAGTAAAACAGGAGTTCTAATAAATATTAGCTATCACTTGGAGCAATTTTCTTAACTTGTTCTATAAAATCCTTTTATGATCTTAACTTTCACTGGCTGCTACAGCAATAAACAACAAAATAAATACATAAATAAGTACAAAATTATTTCATAATACATTTTTATTTATACAATACACAAAAGAGTATTTCTGAACTCAAGAAGCAGCAGGTCTACAGTCCAACCCTACTCCTACCTCATACTAGTTTTTAATCTGGAATAGTTAAACTCTCTGAGCTTCAGTTTTAATATTTACATGATGCTGTATTTTCTAACAGCATTTTAGCAATAAATGATTTTATATGTAAAAGCCTGTAGAATTCAGTGCTTTGACATATGATCACTAAATAAATCCTAGATATTTTAATCAGAATTTATATTTAAATCTGATTAAATAAAATTTAGAAAACACAAACTAAGTCCTTGAAAAATGATTTTCAGAAACAGATTATGTTCATACAAATAAACATACCAATGAAGATCAATCAATATAAAGAAAATAAGAGAGAGAAAAAAAAAAAGACAGTGACAGATGGTCTCTGAAATTTTTTCTGTATCTTTCCAGTTCAGGCTGGAAGATATAACAATAGGACATTTAGTCCCAAAATTGCTATATTAAGGGTACAAGAATTTTATGGCTCTTCATATGAATTGCTACGTTGTTTTTTGTAACTAAAATACCAATTTACAAAGCCACCAATTAGGATACATTTACAACAACACTGTTAATAAATTCTATCTCTTTAATACTGCTTTCATTAACATTTGTCAATATGTCCTCAAAGGACAACTCATGTGGAATATTAAGGTTGCAGCATAACTTAGATGAATTTGGTTTGCTAAGTAGAATATACTGTCATTGAGGATATAGTCAGTAAAATCAACAAAGTCTAGAAGAGTGAACATCATCCTTGTATTGTGACACATTCCTTAAATCCTTGCCAACCTGACACCACAGGAAATTCACCTCAAGTAAATGTCATTTCTGTAAGGCTTAATGACATCAGAAAGCCCTGGGTGTCACTCTTAGTGCTCCATATATGTGCTGCAGCCTTGCATACTGATGCCATGAAATTTTAAAACATGATCACCTTGAAGAGCCAAACACCATCTGAGGTTATGGCCTTAGGGATTAAGAAATGGTGCAGTGTGGATTCTAGAAAGAGTCAGATTTTGCAGAGCACAGCAGTAACCGTTTCAAGACCTAAATGGTTTACTATAGAAAGCTTCAGAAATTATGGTAGTAAGCGCACTCCCAAACCTTTACATACAAAACACAAAGTCTGTCCAGAGTCTCCAAAAATTTCTTCACGTTTCCACTTCTATTTTAAAATGAATACTGTACTATAATGTAAAAGGATCATAAAGCCAGAATACACAAATTATTTTCATTTCTTATCAAAAACCTTAAACACACATATAAATAAAAAGGAAACCTAGAAATTTTAGAGGAAAAAATGTACGGTAGGGAATTACATTTTGATATATAGCAGGTATTAAGTTCAGTCCTAAGGAAGCAGAGAAAGTGGCCAGGCACAGTGTTGCATCTGAAGTCCTACCACTAAGGGAGGCTGAGACAGGAGGACACAAGTTCAAATCCTCAAAAAATAAAAAGGGCTGAGGACACAGCTCCATGGTAGAGCACCCTTGGGCTCAGTTCCCAGAACTGGAGGAAAAAAACAAAAAGCTAATACCCTTTGGTCTATTTGTTAGCTGTGATGTCTTAGTCATATTATTAAACTTCTCTGAGCCTCAATTTTCTGAGTAAGATGAACAGTTTGCTCTTCAAACGTTCATCATAAGCTAAAATAAATATACTGTGTGTGTACCACAGTTACAGATGAAACATTAGTTATCACTATGGTATCAGAAAAAAAGATACAATGAAAAACTGTAAACTAATCTTATTTTTGAGCTTGAAATAAAGTTAATATAATAGAACAAAGCAATGGTTTTTACAATTATAGAATTAAAAACACTAACTGAAGTGTATTAAACTATATGGAATTCCATATGAAACTGGCTTTGTTTTGGTTTGTCTGTTTGGCTCATTTTTGGTTTTTGAGACAAGGTCTTACTATGTAGTTTAGGCTGACCTTGAACTCATTTTGTAGCCTGCTCTGGCCACAAACTTGCAGCAATCATCCTGCCTCAGCCTCCTTAGTGCTAGTATTACAGGCATGTACCAGCACACTCCACATGAAATTAGTTTTTAGCACAATATTTACTCTTGGCAGAGGAAGAGGGGTCTGGCTTCCCTCTGATGTAGTGACAGAGCCATCACCCACAGGTAATGATCTCAGAGCAGCTGCTGTTTTCCTGTCCTTGACAGCAAAGCTTATCTGCATAGAACAGATGGTTCAACTGAGCCATCTATGGAGTACTAAACAGGCAATCTAATGTAACCTAAGGCCTATCCTTTCCTTTCACTGACTTTTACATTTCAGCTATAAAAACTCAACATGTTGGTAAACCCAGTTTTGATCACTGTGAAATATATTTACTTAAAAAATATAAAACAAAATGATTACATATACTAATGGAAGTATTATAGGCCTAACTAAAAAGTATGTATGACTATTTCATAAACACTTGCTTTCTCCTCATTTTGAACGGTTCTTGCGGAGAAAAAAAAATGAAAAATTTCCATCTAGCATTCCTGTGGCAAAGGAATCTGGCTGAAAGAATATATAAGTAGAGGTCTATAACCAAACAGAAATTTATATACAGAAATATACAGTGAAGTGCTCAACTCTGGGGTAAATAATGTCATTTGGCTATTCAGAATGTTAGATTTTGTAAAAGTAAACATTAAATTGCTTCTAAGAATAGAGACAAGGCCCTAGAGGACTGCTACCAAAATACCACTCTTCTTGCCCTCCAGACTTGCCTATTTCTCCCTCTTTTGCTACTCCTCCACTGCTGCAACTTGTTTTGCTCCAAATGTTCAATTATCCTGTTCTTACTTCTCCAGCACACACACCCCTAGGTCAGTGGTGGTGAACCTTTTAGAGACCCCCACACCCACTTATCTATCTCAAACTGCTAACACTGTGATTAAACCAAGAATACTGAGGTTTTAGCTTAGAAAAAAACAATTCATACATTAACATCTTTTGTCCTAAAAGAAAAAATAAGAGCTTTCAATGATACAAACAGCTTTGTATTGAAAGGTAAAAGTTTGCATTTGGCTTCCTTTTGCACAATTAATGCGATCTTTGCAGTTGTATGCATGCTGGTAATTTGTCAAACCTTGGCTAGGGTAACTTGGCTCAAGGGCCGTAGTTTTGCTACCACTGCCCTAAGTAATCTCAATTCTTCTCCTAGCTTGAAACATCTACACTGGTGGTCTTCAAATTCATCTATCTAGCTCACCTCTACTTGGATGTCTATTTAACATTCTTAATTTCATAGTGCTGTCTCAAAGTTGTTCCTCTTCAGTCTTCTCCATCTCCTCTCTTCCCATCACATCCTACAACCAATCTATCCATCAGAAATCCTTGTCTCAAATCCAACCATTTAACTACTATGACTTTTGGCCCAAGGCACTATCTTCTCATTCTGGGTACTTCATTAACTATTCTCCCAGTTTCCATTTCTGACCCCTTGCAGTCAATGTTCTGCACAGCATTCAATGACATTTTCAAAAATATTAAATCATATCATGTCACTCCCTTGGTTCAATCTTTCCAGCAGCTTTCTTCCTATCATACTTACAAAATCTAAATCCTTGCCATGACCAGTAAGACCCTTAGTATCTGTCCCCATCCATCTTGAGTACCTTACTGGCTGTCATACTGCTTCTCAACTAAGCCAAATATATGTCCACCTACACATGGTTTATACTCTCTGAAATGTTCTCTCCTCCAAAGCTTGTTGAAGTTCAGTCTCAATTTATCAGGACCTCTGGTTAAATAGTCCTTCCTTGACCATAATGGGAGCCCTCATTATTTTCTACATTTTTATTTACCCTATTTTATTTTTTTTCACAGCTCCCACCACCATCCAGCATTATTTTCCATCTTGTTTTTGTTACTATTCATCTCCTTCACTAGAATATAAGTTTAATAAGGAGCCAGGCTTCTGACTTCATTATTCACCTATGCATCATTTATATCTAGAACAGGTCCAGCACATGGTAGGAAATCAAATATTCATTTAATAAATACATTATTATGAAGCCCTATTAAAAGATCAGTGGAAGCATTAGATTTACTATTGTCATTCTCATTTTGTTATGAAATTTTGTTTTATTTTTTCATAAAATAAAACATGTCAGAGCATCCAGTCATATGCTGCCTAAAGTGAAGGACATGTTCTGCAAATACCTTGTTTTGTATGTTTTGTCAACACCACTGGGGTGTAGTTACACAAATTAAGATGGCTATATCACTGGGTGATACATCTTATGGGACTATTGTCATATATTTGTCCTTAACCTAAACATTAGTGCATGAACCCTGACAATATTCTTAAAGCCATTAAAATAATCATGCATGTAGAATTGTTCCTCCTAATATTTATTTATGAATTGCACTTTTAAAGCTTTTGTCATTTAAAAAGAATTTGAGCTTTTGCCTCAAAATTTTCCCTAATACATAATAATTTTCCTTAGACCTTTCTTCACTCTTTCAATAGACTACGATACAGGAGGGTTATTTTTTCTTTCTTTGATGAGAACTTAAAGTACATTTAGGTTATATTTACAAAAAACTGAGTCAACAATAAATGCTTTTAAGACGTTCATTAACTGGCAGGTTAATGAATGGTCAACTTGAGTGGGAACATTCAGCTGAACTGACTAAACATGGTTCTGGGCAATGGCATAAATGAGAACAAGAGAAGAAGATTGCATGCTGCTGATTTCCCAGAAGAAACTTTGTTGCGGCTGGTTTTCCAGATAGAAACTTGGCTTCTCAGGCCCTTTCTGTCTCCAGGGATGGCTGAGGTTCTCTCCTGGGGAGCTCTGGTCTTTGTCTTTGTCTTGAGTGGTACAGATCCTTCAGCCTTCTGGCACAGACTCTCTGCACCAGTCCATGGGCTTCTAGGGCAGACCATTCAGTATTTGTCATGGATTCCTCTCTTTGCCTCCTGATATAAATTTGGATGAGACATTACCATGAGCTCGAGGCCTCTGGCTGGACTCCTGCAGGACACTGCCGCAGGATCCAGGTTGGCTGCATTCTTCAGGTCTCTCGCTCAGTGAGAGATCTTTCACTCTTCTGCATTTGACTTTTTAGTGAATATTATAAGATAATCCTATAAATTTATGTGTCCTGTATTAAATCTATTCCCTTACAAATCCTGACTATAACAATGACCAATTTCTTACTAGTCTCAGTCGAGTCAATGGAAAAATAGCTGTAAGTCTACATTCTTGGACAGAAAGACTATATTCAATTAAACACTGGATTTATGAATCTATCACAAGCCTGTTTTAACTTTTAATTTAAATCATTCCATGAATTCACAGCAGGATAACAAACGACTGAACTGTAAAGCTACATTTTTCAAAAAGACATCATGAAATGTGCCTGGTGCTGACTAATTAACAAGTCCAACACAAGTTTTCCTTGGACTCAAACTACTAAAAGATAAAAATAAGTATTTAGAAAAAAATGTAATTGCAACGATTTGCTCTCCAAATAGAACAACCTATTATAACAGCCCAAACCATGAGCTAATAAGAACTGTCTGCCTCTAAGTAAAGGATGGGCAAAGATAGACTTGTTTTATATGTTTAGAAGGTTGAGGCTTGAAGACTCTGGCTTTTAATAGAAATCTCTTTCCATGGGCTTGTCCACATGTGGATCTTAATGTATCCCATGATTTTCTTGTCCAAGTAACCTGTACTTGGTTGCTTCATGTTTCTTGAACTCACAGTTATTACAGAAAATAGGTAATTCTTCCAGGCCTACTTTCTCTTTCCCTCATAAAGAGATATAGAAACTAGAAATTGTACTGAATAGTTTCTCTGGTGTGAATAAAATGTAATAGTACATAAGATCCTAATGAGATAATTGACAATATGAAATAGGAAGAAAAGGGCTAAAGGTGTAGGGAAAGTGGGAAGGGTAGGGGAAAGGTAATAAGGGAAAAGAAAAAAATGTGAGAAAATGAAAAGATGGAAATAAAGTGTTTGTAAATGGGGAGGGGAGGAGGGGGTGAAAGGAGGGCAGGGACAAGGGGAAAAAAATGAGAACCAAGACCTGTCATGTAAAGGTACAAGATCCCAATGGTGAATGTAACTGTACTGTATACCTAAAATGTACCAATAAACTCAATTAAAAAATTCAATTTATAGTTTCTTTTTTTCCTCATTGAGTTTATTCAATTAAAAAATTCAATTTATAGTTTCTTTTTTTCCCTCATTGAGTTTATTCAATTAAAAAATTCAATTTATAGTTTCTTTTTTTTCCCTCATTGAGTTTATTGGTACATTTTAGGGATACAGTATAGTTACACTGATTATTGGGATCTTGTACCTCTACATGACAGGTCTTGGTTCTCATTTTTGTCCCTTGTCCCTGCCCTCCCTTCACCCCCTCCTCCCCTCCCCATTTACAAACACTTTATTTCCATCTTTTCATTTTCTCATATTTTTTTCTTTTCCCTTTTCCCTTATTACCCTTCCCCTACCCATCCCACCTTCCCTACACCTTTAGCCCTTGAATTTTAATAGGAAAACATGACAAAATTTGAAAATAGCCACATTTAAGAGATTTAAATAACAGAAGTCCAACTTTTCTCCCCAACTCACATATAATACAGCTACTTTTAAATTACACATATAAATTTACTGTAGCTTTCAAATTTTAAGTTCTCTTTTACTCTAGGTTAAATTTCAGAATTATAAATTCAGCATTCTTGGAATGCACAATGAGATATGATTCAGGCAAGATCATCATAAAACTCCAAAGTATCCTCCCACAGATTAATTACTAATGATAAAAGGGGGACTGTCTTCATTGAGAAATTTAGCATTTCCACATCAACCCACTGTTCCTACTTAACTTTACTAATAGTATCATATGTGCCCAATCTAACATTAAGTCCCAGCACCACCTCTGAAGTACTCTTTCCATAAACCTCAAATCTAAATTGAATCATGTCTCCAGATCAAACTTCCAGTTTATAAAAATGCAGAAAACATAACAATAAGTTAAATGTCACTATATGGAAAACTCAGGAAAATCCTGGCTTGTTCTCTTCCGGGTATAAAGGTCATGAAAAATATGGGAGATAATTCTAGATTAATCCTAGGTTAAGATGGACTAAGAACACCTAACAGCCAGATGCAACTTGTGAAACTTGGTTGGATCTTATTTCAAAAAACTATGAAAAGATCCACAAGAAATCATCAGGAAGATTTTAGCACGAGAAAGAACCAAAGGTGAACTGCCATGTCTGTAACTAACTGCCAATATCTCAGGAAAAAAATAATAAAAAGAAATGTATTTTCATATAAATATAAACATAAACACACATACAAAGGCAGACAGAATCAGATAAGCTAAAATATAATCTGTTGATTCCAGGTGGCTAGTTCATGTGTAATTAGCATCTTAGTCTTTCAATTTTTCTATATGCTTGAAAAAATTCAAAATAAAAAGTAGTTAACTTTTTGTTAAACATTTACTGTTTCCAATACCTGGTTCTTGAATGACATCCACCTTCCCCACACTGATCTGAAGAGTTTCACCGTTCTTTGCAAAGGTCTCCCATTCAGAATCAGTCTGCTGACATGATGGACACCACGGGGCATAACTATGATGGAGAAGAGTAACTCATCAATCAGCACAAGCATGGGAGAACGAAAGAGAGTAACAGAGTAAATTAAAAAGTAAATTTTTCACTAAAGGAAATTATAAAAGCAAGCTTTTCTAGTCATCTAAAGAAATACAAAAGTACAATTCTCTCCTAGGATTTAATATATGAATATGCACTCTATAGTGGTTAAAAAAAAAACCAGCTGAAGTTTGACAACAGTTTTAGTAATAAATGTCATGTGAAATATTTCTTAGTGTTATGCTTACAATTGAATCACACTGTCACTTTCTGAATAGCTTTTGATTTCTAAGGGTAATAATGTTTTGAGTGTCCCACTTCAGAAGGGCAATTTTCACAATGACCTTATAGTAGTCAAATCAATTTCAGATCTATCAATGCTACAGATCAGCAGGCAGAAGCCAAAAGATCTGCTTCTACTGGGCCCTCAAGCATGTTCATATATCTGCATATGTGTGGCAGTTCTCAGCCATTTCAACAAAGAAAGCAGACGCTGTAGGCTAAATCAGCTCTACCTAACACCTTTTTAAATAAAAGAGGTAAAAATATCTAGGATTTCAACATAGAAAACTGCCTTTTATATTTATCTTTCATTCAATAAATACTAAGTACTATGTTTGAAACTGAGGCAACAACAGTGAATCGGACAGACTTAGTTCCAGAGAGGAAGTGAGACATGCAGAGAGGTAAATACAATTCAAGTAAAAAATGCTAAGACACAGTGTGGAGCTGGGGTACCTCAGAAATGCATAGAAAGAAACAGCTATGCTTAGGCATAAAGTTAGAATAATAACCAGGGATGGGCAAAGAAATGCCCTCACCTAAGCCGGACAAACAGTATATATGAAGGCTCACGGTAGGAGAGGGGAGAAAGAAGACTTTACCCAGAGTCCTTCAAAAGTTGTATAAGGACTTTATTTGAGGATCCATAATAAGCTCTAAAGTTATAAGAGAATTATGGTCAGACTTAACATTTTTTTAAAAAGTTCTAAAGTGGGAGCTCTGTGAACAGTAGATCAAGGAAGAGCTATATACAATCAAAGAGAAGAAACAGAAGGATGGGTAGTCAGCTTGGCAGTTAGTGGCTTCACCTTGCTATCCAATGTCCTAGAAAACTTCATTAAAGATACAAACTATAAAGTTCTGATCTTTTCTCAGGGTTTAATCTGCAGATATTAAAATGGGAATACAGAGAGGTCTCCTGCTTAAAAAGTATAGTAGATTGATATTCCCTAAAAAGAAAGGCCCAAGTCCCAGCCATGATACTTATGAATATGACTTTATGTGGAGGATACGGTCTTTGCACAGATAATTAAATGAAGGATCTTGGGAGGAGACCATCCTGATTTAAGATGGGCTCTAAATCCAAAATCAGTTCTTCCAAAGAGACAGTTCTGATACAAAGAAAAGGGGAAAGGCTATATGAAGATAGAGCCCAGGGTCATACAGCTTCAAGCCACCGACACCAAGAGATGCCAACAGAAGTCAAGAGAGAGGTAAGAACAGACACTCTCATGCAGTGTCCAGAAGGCACCTGCCCTGACTCAACTTGACCTTGAACCCTGGAGCTCCCTGAACCATGAGTTAAAATTTATATTATTTAAAGCTATTCTGTGGTAATCATTATAGCAGCCCAAGGAAACTAATGCAGCAAGGAAGATGCCATTTGAAACTAGAAGTAGATCAGATAAGCCATATACAGACTTAAAAGAGCTGACAGGGATATGCTTAATATAAAATATTGTGAACAAATAATATCATATGCTGGGAATCCATTTCAAAATATGAACATGGCACAATTAGAAGGAAATTCAACATTTGCAGAATAATGTCACAACAATGTATTGGTATAAATAGAGAAAATTTTGGTTTTGTTTAATAATACCCAGAAGATAAAACCAATAATCAATTAATAAACACCCATAAAATAAGATACTCCAGGAGAAAATATCATCAGGCAACTTTGAAAGTATTTAGATGACACCAAAGTTAGACATATTTTTAAATCTTCTTAAATTGAACTTTTAAAAAATCTTTAACACATGTCAATATATTGAGGAAATTAGTGACATATAAAAGAATTACTGTCACTAAATTGTTGGCATATAATGAGTGTTAGATAAATTACAACATCAAAAGGTAGAGGTATAGATGTATAAAGGGTAGATGTATAGATGAAACAAGTTTGGCAATATATTGATAACTGTTGAACCTGGGGGATGGTTAGTAAGGATTCACGAAATTCCTTCTATTTTTTTGCATCTACTTAAAAGTTTCCAAAATACATTTTAAAGACTTCATTAAATAGATATATCATAGTGTGGATGAGAAGCTTGAGTACTGTAAAATTGTCAATTTCCCTCAATATATTTTTGTCATACCTGAATTGTTTCTAAAAAATTGATCCCTATTACTTCTACATTAATGAGTGTGGAAGAATGAGGCAGCAAAGAATGCCTGGTGAAAAACTAAACAAAACAAAACAAACAAACAAACAAAAAAAAACAGGCACCTACATATCATGCCTTAAAAAGGGAACAGAATAATCAGGTACATGTCTGTAATCTCAGCACTTTGGAAGATGAAGCAGGAGGATCACAAGTTCAAGGACAACCTGAACTATACAGCAAGATCTTGTTACAAGACAACCAAAGAAAAATAGAATAATAGAGGAAAGTAGTAAACTGATCAAGTTTTGTAGCAAGTTTTAGGCTCAAAGGGGATGTCAGATTACCATTTTCAAGTTAAGATCTTGAACTGTGCAATGGCATGGATATTAAGTTCCATCCAAAAAAATCAATGCAGTGATACACATAGACTAACTTGGCTGAATAATGACAGAAAAAAAAAAAGTATCTGAAATCAGGCAAGATTTTGAACTTTCACATTATAAAGAGATGGGATAAGGATGTTAAAAAGCCAAGACTAAAGGAAAAGATGGATTTAAGAAAAGTACTAAAAATTAGAGAGAGCCCAGAAGAGAAAGGGCTGCCCAAAGCCAAGGCCTTTCTCTCTAGCCCAGTCCCAAAGACAAAGATTTGGCAAGACTCAAACACTAAACCTAACTCTACCTCCAGAAAAGACTATCATAGCCAATATCAAGGTCATTCTAAAATTAGGTTAAATCTTCCCATTACAGTTCAAGAAGATTCTCGGGAGGTCAGTTGACTGGCATGCAAAGCACATAGTAAGAACAATTATTAATGCAAATTACACTTGTAACATACTGTTTGGTTTCCAAGACACTTTTGTGATACCTAAGTTCCCTCCTCAAATGTACAAAGTCACTGCAAAGAGTTAAAGCAGGTTTAGAACTTTGCTCAAGGTGAAGTCAGAACATACAGATCAAGAGCCCAGATGGAGGTATTTATGTGACGACAAGACAAAGAGGAAAAGAAAACTGAACATCAACCCCAGTACTCAAGAGTAAAAGAGAGAGAAGGTATAAAAAGAATGTGCCAAAAATAAGAAAATCTTGAGGTAGAATTTAATTAATTTTGGATGCCTTTTGCTTTATTTTCCTAGGATGTTGTTTTTCCATACATATGTTACATTAGCGATTATTAAATTATCAACACTGCATAATTTTTTTTTAAATTCCCTAACTTCTAGATATACCACTATATAAGTGGGGTATTGGTTTTGGTGACATTGGCCTTCAGATACATGATAAGCCACTGAAATAACAAGCTATTCCATTTTCTATGATGCTGCTCAGTGTCAATGTCATTACTTCTAAAGATTTCATCAGAGCTGGCTGGATTGAAATGCACCAAAATGTTCTTTCTGTGGAGGGGATAAAGTGTGGGACCTGGTTCACTTTAACTGTTGTTACAACTTTTTAAATTATTGGCATTTGTATCTATAGGGCAGCTATTCAGAAAGGAATTTAGAACAAGTAAAATATATCCAGGGTTAGAGGGAATGCAAGGATAGGGTCTGCTGCTTCTCTACCCCCCAAATACATATATGGATATATATAATTTATTTATGTACATATGCATGTATCCATGAATAAAATTCATAAGGATTGAATATAATTTTCATTTATTTAAAACTAGTTCATAATGGCATCTTTTCTAAAGAACCCCTCAGTAACTTTCTCTTACACACAAAATAATCTTTCTTCGATTTAAGAGCCTTCATAAGGAGTTAGCATCACTATAGTTCTGCAACTGTAAGCCACATCTTTTCTATTTCAATTTTTGCAGATGATGGTGATATATAAAATTAGTAACGTTTACAAAGACATTTGAGATAGCTAAAATGTTGTTATATTAGACCAACTTAGATGAGTCTTAATATTTTTAACCATTTCTGGGAAATCAAATTCAACAGAAAGCTTCTGTTACCTGTGTTAGTATTCATGTGTAAAGTATACTGAGGTTCCACTAGCAAGGTGTTTAAAGAACTTTAATTTTTTTTTTTTTTTTTTTTTTTTTTTTTTTTTTTTTTGGTACTGGGGATTGAACTCAGGACCTTGTGCTTGTGAGGCAGGCGGTAGCACCACTGAGCTAAATCCCCTTTTTAAAATTCACCAATAATAGAAAATTTTCCCCCCTTCTCTCTTGGCTCTAACTTCACTAGTGTTTCCTACTAACTCTGACTTTCTTATCCTTGAAGAAATGATATGGAAAAATAACCATCCATTTTTACTTAGAATTTACTTTATCAGAACCTGTGAAAATGAAAAGAAAGATGAATGAGGTTCATTTTTCTAGGATTTAGTAACTAAACTAAATCAAAATATCAACAAATATACTACACATTAAGTCTTCTCTCTCTCTGAAAAGCCTGGAAATATTTCTATATGTTCCAAGAATTGAAAGCTTCATGCTCAAATTTCTTTTTTAAAAAATTTATTTTAATGTAATACAAGTAGATATTAATAAAGAAAATATTTTTAAAGTTATTTCTATGAAAAAATGCCAAATTTCATAAATAATTAAAGAATAACATTAGTTAATAAACTGTGTACCATAATAAAACAGAATGGACAAAATGTTAAGAGTACAAGTCATAGACAAAAAGACTCTTACAAAAAGGAAACAGATAGTAGCACAAAGTTTTCTTTGCAATGAAGAGGACCTAGCAGTATAAATCAAACAAATTGACACACATATTGAAATATTTTTGAAACCACAGAATACGTAATTTGGTGAATTACTAGAACTTCTCCTTACTTCCTATTTCTCTTTTTTTCATATTTTCTTTAACATTTAATAGAAACTATGTATATTTTTACTGTGTTTTACATAAGATAGCCACTGTAGAAATTTACTTAGATTAGAAGGAAGACAGATGGTTAAGGGCACAGTTCTGTGGGATATTTTCTCTCAGAACATGAAAGTCAGAATTCAGTTGGAGAAAAGGATTTACACTAACTACCAAATTAAGTGGATGTTTAAAAAAAGGTAAACTGTAGGCCTTTGAGGTAGAAACCAGGTGCTAAGACCACACAATATTTCAAAGATACCACTCTTAAACCCAGCCTCCATCTAGTCATCTGTGTGGATTTTTGCCTGTGAAACAGCATTCCAAAGATGTCTTTCCCATTAGGCAAACATTCATTCATTCAACCCAGACATAGGGATGACTTCTCCCTTGCCCAGAACAGGAAAAAACACACAACATTTGGACACTACTGATCCAATCTCAATTTTAGTCCTTATTTCCACTTTCATTTTCTCACACCAGAGAAACACCTTTCTTCAGAAAATAATTTTTAGAATATTTTATCACAAACTATAGAGGAAAAATAAAAAATGACAGCTGCACAAAAATTATGACACCAGCTAGAGAGAGTATAATTCACTGCTTTCCTCTGTGGAAACAATCTGTAATCAAATACTTCTATGTTAGCTTAGGAGAGATTCCCTTCTGCAGGTGTTTAAATATCCATAAAAATACCTCGTGCAGTGATTTTCAACTAGTGGCACTTGGAAGTGTGCATAGAAGATAAGCTCTATAATTTTTTGATGTCACATGGACTGAGAATACTAATAGAATGTAATGGGATTAATAATATTAAAGGTTCGCAACACATGGGCCATCCACATGTATCAAACAACTGTTTAACCCAAAATGCCAATAGTGCCCTATCAAAAACTACTGATAAAAGTCTAACACAGAGGAAGTGTTCAGTAAATGTTTGCTAAACAAATGAATGATACTTGCACTATTTATTTCCTGCAGGGCACAGTGACTGCCAGTCCTTTCAGATCAAGTTTGCAACCCATTTATCTTCTCCAATTCCTCAACCCTGAACCTGACACATAATAAGCATTTAGTAACTATCTCTTAATTCAATAAAAAAGTCAGTATCTATTAAACTACAAGAAAGCATAACTTAACATGGCATGAGCAGCTTAAGGTCTAGGTTCAACACATTCCATCCAGGTATAAGAAAGATCCTGGAAAGACAATACCAAAACCAAGGGGTCCTAGGGAAGTAAAGGAAGCTTTGCTCCCTCACCAGATATCTCATCTCAATTCTGAAACATGAGAAGCCCAAGAACAAAGACAGAAAAAGTAATGCTTTATGGGTATCGATCTACTTTATAGAAAAAAAAAATAACTCAAAGATATAGTTCTTCTCTAGATATTAGTGTAAAGGTAAATTAAGCTTCTTGGATGTATACTTAATTCTTTTGGAAGAAAAAAGCCATCAAAACAGTAAAAAGTCTGTTTTCATATTGCATACTTTGTATTTCCAATGAACAAAAGTAATATTCTCAAAGACTGATACAATGAGAGTTAAGCAAATACAAAAAATAGCAAAAAATTGCAAAGCAATGTAATAAAGGATAGTATCAAACAATGGAAAGATAAAGAAAGCGTCTGAAAAAAATTTTTTCATCACAGCAACCCAATTACGGTGACACAGTAGAAACGAGTAAATACAAAACTATTATGAAAACAAGCAAGAGAAAAACAGTATACAATAAGCACATAACATTAAAGAAAATATAGAAAGTAGTGGAATTTAGCAGATTTTTTAAAAAGTCTGGAAATAAAAAGTGAATTACTGTAAATATATTTTATATTTATATATTTTATATATTTAACTGATGTGCTTATACATAAGTGCTTTTCCAAATTAGGAGAAAAAAAAAACTGAATGGCAAGGATCTCAAAACTTGACTCTAAAACACAATGAAATTCAAACAAATTAAATTTTGTAATAGGAGCTTTCCATATCTCAGAGCAGTCAAACATTGCTACATTGTTAAAAATAAACTATGGATACCAATATAACTATTAATTTCATTACAAGGGCTTTGTACAAATGAAATATAAAAGAAAAGATTCCTAGAAGAAAGACAGCATATAAGCAAATGGACAAATAAAGAACTGTCATCCAAAGCGATGTCAATTTTTTACTAAGATGTTAAATACATCATCAGCAAATTCCTGATAATCTCCGAGGAAGGTTAAGACTGGTTTACCTGAACAAAGTGTTGACATGGGCAGTAGTATGACACACTTTGTTTTTCTGTTATATACATCAGAAAAAAAATTAAACTATTAGAAACGTATAGTAGGACTACAGTGGTACTGAGAATATTCATTTTTTTAATGTTGCATGTTTTGTGAAGGGAAGAGTGTAGCATCTAACAGTACAAAAAGAAAATAGACAAGAGACAAAAGAACTCCAACAAAAGCAACACCTTTCTGGGGAGGTTCTGCCATGCAGAAAGAAGCTGGATGTAATGGTTAAGGCCTCTCCTTTGCAACTGCTACACCTATTCACTCATTCTGAAGTAAAACAAGAACTATGAAAATGATCTCTGGTGTCTATACAGCTTACATCTCCTTGCATCAGGGCCCAAACATATGCCATACAACTGGATATATACCAAGTTTACAGCACCTGACTGCTACACTTAGCCCTGCGCATTTATGAAAAGGTAACATCTAAACCATAGAAGTAGCCAGACATAGATGTTGCCTGTCACTCATTCAAGCTTAATGGGGCTCACATTCTCCACAGCTTTGTTCTTAGTTCTTTAACTTAAAAAAAAAAAAAAAAAAAAAAAAAAAAACAGGAAAAGCAATTTCTGAAGGCACCAGAAAGGATTTGAAGTCATTAAATATTAAGGAGACCTTTCTACTCTCATCATATACATATACAAACTCAGCTTTTATTAGTACGTTTGCAGTATATGTTTACATTCACTTACAGAATGAGTACATGTACGAAATAAATCTCAATTCTTTTTAATCCCCTTCCTTCCTCCTTCCCCTATTTTCTCTTTTTTTAGTTCATGAACTCAATTCTCATAAACTCAGTTCTAACCAGTGACTTGATGTCTACAAAAACTACACTGTGTACGAATCTACTGAATAAAAGGACTTTGTGTAGTATTACCTGATAAAAATGCAGTTTCCCTAAAGTTCTTACAATTTATCACAAACACAGCAGCCCTGGTATAAAGCTAAACTTACTTTAAAAATTTCTCTCATAAATGGAATGTGACTTCCTCACTTCCACACCAAGTACTGAAGTAGTTTATTTTACTACAATGTTTGTATCTGTGGCTTTGAGTTTCAGTAGTTTATTATAACCAGGATATTTCATGTAGAAGCCTAAATATACCCTTTTTTGTAACCAAAAGCCAAATGCACTTTTGAAGGAATGATATGCATCATGTTTTTTGAGCAATACAATTTGTTATCTTCTGGTCTGATCTTACAATCAGATTTTCACTCCATAGGCATCCTGCAATCTAAACAGACTCGAAATTTAGCCGTGGATATACAATTTTGAGTGTTGATGCAAAATCATACACACACACACACACACACATACATACATACATACATAGATGTGTGTGTGTGTGTGTGTGTGTGTGTGTGTGTGTACTAAAACCACAGGTCACAAACGTGTGGCCTCAAGGCCATCATATCTAAAGCCTATGAAGACATCGTTACTTGTCAACTTCAAATTTTCTTTCAAATGCTCACTTCATAAGTTAATTTTCAACAATAATCAACAAATCGCTTACTTTACTCTTTTAAAAAGGAAAAAATAGTTCCGTCCTTCACGCAAAGGCACTAATCACCATTTATTTACCTTCTGTTGTTCAAATGGGGCAATTTGTTAATGACGTTTTCTTTATGACACCAGAACAAACTACACCCACCTATAAGGCCTACCTCTAAACATTATTACACACATAAGCGTGATCTTGTTTTAAACATTAAAAGGCACCCATGTTTGTTTTACTTTCACAAGGACACCTCAAGGTCTTCAAGAAGAAGACTAAGGTATTTTGTACAAGTGGTCTGCCTTTACCTTCTTTAGTCATTTATTCTAGCCAGTGCTCCCTATGCTCATAATAAATGTCTCTGAATGACTGCCTTCTCCGGTAGGCGCATACTTCTACCTAAAGAGCACTGGGTTTCCTTGTGGATTCCCATCTCTCCTCCACCCTCCACCCTCCCCTTGAAAAATTGCCTGCTCCATCCGTAAATCGCTCTTCCTAAAGCAAAGCAGCGAGCGAGGGGTTGGATGCTCTCCCTCCGCAGAGGGCCGCGCACGCATGCGCAGTTCCAGGCCGTCCTAGGTCTCCGGTTTGGGCGGGCCCGGGCCCCAGGTCTAGCCCGGCGTTGTGGTGAGTGGGGCGGATGGGCACACTCACAATTTCAGCATCCACTCGCCCTCCATCACCAGCGTCCAATTGGAAGCGGTCATGGGTTGTACCCGGCTCGGTTCCGCCGGCACCAGGGCCTGCTCGGGGCCCTCGGCCACGACCAACGCCACGACCCAGACGACCAGGAGCGCCGTCCAC